CACCGGTGAAAAAATTTTGCTTTTTTGTTTATTTTTTTTTTTTTTTTTTTTTTTTTTTTTAATTCTAGGGGAAAATTTGCGGTGGTGAGGAAATGTATAAAGAAAGATTCTGGAAAAGAGTTTGCAGCAAAGTTCATGAGAAAAAGAAGAAAAGGCCAAGATTGTCGGATGGAGATAATTCATGAGATTGCTGTACTTGAACTAGCACAGGACAATCCTTGGGTCATTAATTTACATGAAGTGTATGAGACTCCATCAGAAATGATCTTGGTTCTGGAATAGTAAGTATTCTCTCTTTTGGGTTGAATTTGATAGATTATACTTCCATATAGGACATCACTTCTGCGTGAGAATGTGCATAGCCTGGTTCTCTGGAAAGGATTTTCCAGATCTTCAGGCGTTCCTCATAAACACCTTTACTCCACTTACAGTGTCACCTACTTCCCAGCTTTTATTAGATACCTGGTCTATTCTCCCTTTGTGGAGAAAATGTGGGCATCAGTCCTTAGCATCTCTCCAAAGCCTTCTAAGCAAAAAACTCACATCAGCATGTTTGCGGTGTTAGTACATTTTGTTGGATGCGTTTATGCAGGATGTCTTTACTGCTTTACGCCCTTCCCTTCTGTTTGACAGAGGTAATTCAACTATGTACTGCTGAGGGTATAAACCTTATCTGTGTTCTTTAATTTTTAATCTTCCTTTTCTAGGACCTGTGGTTTTTTTTAATCAGTTGTGTAGCGTCTTTTAAAGTTGCAGCCTCTTCTCCATGGGTGGCTCCTTTTCCTTTGTCTTCTATTATTCTAAAATTCCTGGTCCTGAGCTTTGACTCCTCTTAAACCATCTTTGCTGTGTTGCTCTTTTCTTTATTCCTGTACTTCTTGAAAGGATAGTCTGAATTTATAGCTTTCCCTCGTCTTCCAATCAGTTCTGTTCTACTTCATTGATCTGTTCATCTGTTCATGTGGTAATAGCTCCATTTACTTTTCAATATAATGCCATCTGTTCTCTTAAAACTTTCATGAGGTCACCAGTGCTTGCCAAAATCAATCTCATTTTAGTATTTGTTCTACTTCTTACTATCTTTAAACATGAGACATAATTCATTCTTGAAATTACTTCATTGGTGTTTACAGCCCTGTCATTTGTTGTTCTGTTTTTCTCCTCTCAGAGATTTTTACCCTGTTCTGGATAATGTGTTCCCCACAGCTCTTTCAATGTTACTGTTGTTACACAGTTTTGTTCAGTAAACTTACTTTGGATGATGATCTTCTTTTGATGCCTGCAGCTGTTATTTACAGGATGATTATTTCCAAAGTTTTCCAACCTCAGCCCCTCTCCTGAGTTCCAGTTCCCTACTGTATATACCTGTACCCAACTGTAGGTTTATTATCAATTCAGTATCAATACACTTGCACTGTCCTTCTAATGCTTGTTTTTCTTTTGTTCCCATTTCCATTGGTATAGCCATTGGTTCATTGCTCATGCTAGAAACCTTGATCCTGTCCTTGATTCCTTTATCTTGTTTAGCCTCATAGATAATGAATTAATTACCAAGTCTCCCATATGAACCTCTCCAGTAGCTGTTTAGCTGATCACCTTGGCTTCCACTCTAGGACATCTCTCTGCTGCTGTTAGGTAACAGTCATAGATGTACTGTGTTATTTCTTGTCTGCAAGCGTTTGATGGTCTCTATTGCTTCAGTAATCAGGATTTTTAGAATCTAATCAGTATGATTTAGCCACAATTTTTGTGTTTTAATTTGAAAAAGAAGTCTTAGAGGTGTATTCTGGATACTGAGATATCAAGATTCTCAGCCAGATCAGTGTAAATTATTGCTGTGGAAACAGCAAGTTGTGACCACTGTATCAGACATTACTGAAGCACCTATGTACACTAGATACTAGTAGGTGTTGATAATATAAAAATAAGAATAACGTAGCCTCTTCCCTCCAGGTGCTAAAACTAGCCAAGAGATTAAATATAAATGATTTCGGCAATATTGGTGTTTTACCAAAAATTCTTGTTAGATGCTATGTGAACAAAAAGTAGTATAGCTATAATGTGCTAAACATTAACTGAGTGCTAGGCACTATACCAAGTTTACTTTGTACACCTGGTTTATGAGGTAGAATATGCTTTAATATGTATGATTTATACATTTTTAAAGCAAAAATTTTGATTTGTTTGTTGTACTGGGGATTAAATCTAGGGCCTCACACATACCTCTGGCTCCTAGAAGTCTTTCTCTGTGAAACTCCCTTCCCTCTGATAACTGCTTGCAAATTCCAGCTGCCTTAGCCTCCTCAGATTTCCAGTATCTTCTCAGCGTAACAAGGCCACCTCTTCTGCTTGGATTCCTCCCCTGCCTAGTACCACTACCCATTAGTTTCCTTCAGGTAGGAAACCAGGGATCCAAGAGAGCTCACCTTGTTTGTTTCCTTCCTTTCATGGCCCCACAGTTAGTTCAGTTAGTGGATGAAGCTTACATTAAGCAGAGTAAACAATGACACGGCTGCACATTGTACTGGAGGGAGTTCAGTCTTAAAACCACACAGATAGCTTTCAAAGCTTCTAAGAGTAGTCTACATTTGAAGTACAACTTGAAATTTTTCAGAAAATTGAGGTTAGTGATATATTTTGTGCTCACATGAGCTAGTTCAGTTGTTGAGGAAACAAATGAAACCCTTTGTTAAAACAGATGTGGTGACACGCACCGGTACCAGCACTTGAGAGGTTGAGGCAGGAGGATTGCCACAAATTTGAGGTCATGGACTACGTAGAAAGACCCTGTCTCCAGAAGAAGGAGAAAAAGGAAGAAAGGAAAAAAAAAGACTTAGAGATGCACACCCCCTGGGGGCTGAGGCCAAGGCAGGAGGGTGGCAAGTTTGTTTTATATAAGTGAATTCTCTTCATTTTCTTAAGAGTTTGAATTTTACATTTGGCCATTCTACTTTTATCATTTTATATTTATATTTTTGTTTTTATTAGTATGTGTTTATAGTACATAATGATTACATTTGTTATATGGAATTGGTACATGTACATAACACGTCTTCTTTTTACATGCCCTCTCTTCTTTTCTCCCCCTTCCTAAATTTGATTGTTGAGCACAGTAATGACTTAAAGGTACTCAAATGACAATAAATTGTGGTTAATAAACGTTTCCAGCCAAAGTTCAGTTCCTTGAGTTGTGAGTGTCACTGCAAATGGTGGCCTGTGTGTGCAGAGGTGGTGGATATACACCTGCATCTCCAGCTAGTAGGGACTGAGCTGGCTCTGCTCCTACTGTACTTTGCTTCAGCTTTAACTCCAGAGCACTACCAGGCTGTGGCTAATTTACTCTTTATTTTTATGGTACAAGTTCACCATTTCCTTTGTATGATTTATATTTTACTTTAATTTGTCTAGCGCTGCTGGTGGTGAAATCTTTGACCAGTGTGTGGCAGACCGAGAAGAAGCCTTTAAAGAAAAAGATGTTCAGAGGCTCATGAGACAGATTTTAGAAGGTGTCCACTTTTTACATACTCATGATGTAGTTCATCTTGATTTGAAGGTAAGATCTGAGTTACTTTTCAATTTGAAATTGCTGAAAAATGACACATAGCATTTTAAATATGTTTAGCAGTGATGTATCTAAATGTGTATCAAGTTTATGGGTTTATTAGATAACAAGGATATTAGGATTGAGTCTTTTTAAAAATTTTATTAGTACATGTTTGCAGTTCATGCACTTACAATCATCTTGGGGAGTATCGCATGTAAATACCACAGCTTGTTTCTTTTTGTTTGTTTGTTTATTCCCCTTCCCACTCCCTCCTGCCTTCCTCCTCTTCTAATTCCCCTATCCCACTTTTCATTCTTGATATTATTAATCTTAGCTTATAGCGTTTACATTAATTGAGGTTGTTAGGTTCCTGTACATGGCATATCTTTATTCTACTTATTTTTTCCCCCCCTGCTTCTCGCTACTTGCAGTTTTTCCCTTAGACCACTTCTGTATTATAGCAGGGGATTCATCTCCTTGTCCCCTTCTCTCCAGCCTTTATTATCTTTATACTTTGCCTCACCCAAGTGAGAACTAACATACAATATTTAAGTCTGTGTTTCAGTTTTATTTCACTCAACATTATATTTCCCAGGTGCATCCATTTTCCTTACAAATGTCTCAAATCTTTTTTTCTTTGTAGCAAAGTAGTAATCCATTATATATAAATACTACATTTTCTTTATCCAGTCATGTGATGATGGCTATACAGGATGTTTCCAGGATTTAGGTATTAGGATTTGTGCTGTTATAAACATTGGTATGCATGTATCACTGTAGTATGATGACTTAAGCTCTTTGGAGAAGATACCCAGCAGGAAGATAGTTGGGTCATATGGAATTTCTAATTCAATTCTTTGAGAAGTCTCTGTACTGATTTCCTTAATGGTTGTACTAGTTTATATTCCCACCAACAATGAAGGAGGGTTCCCTTTTCACCACAGCCTTACCAATATTTTGTTATTGCTTGATTTCTTAATGATTATTGTTGTTTCTGGAATAAGATGGAACCTTAGTGTTTTTTTACTTTCCATTTATCTAATGGCCAGAGATGTTGAGCATTTTTTATGTATTTGTGGACCATTTGTATTTCTCCTCCTGTGGAGTGTCTGTTCATTTCTCTTGCCCATTTCTTACCTGGGTCTTTAATTTTAGGTGGTTTGACTTTTTTTGAGTTCTTTGTATATTCTAGAAATTAGTCATCTGTCTGAGGAGTAGCTGGAAAAAATGTTGTCCCGTTCTGTAGGGTGTCTCTTCACTCTACTCATAGATTCTTTTGCTATACAGATTTTTACTCGGATAAAATTCCATTTGTTGATTCTTGCTATTATTTCTTGAGCAATTGAGGTTCTCTGTAGAGAATCCTTTCCTACAGCCATGTCTTCAAGTGTTGTACTCATTTTGTCTTCCAGTAGGTTTAATGTTTCTGTTTAAATGTTTGGATCTTTTATCTGTTTTGATTTTAATTTAGTATGGGGTGAGAGTTTCAGTCTTCTGCACATAGATAACCAGTTTTCCCAGCTCCACTTGTTGAATAGGATGTTTTTCCTCCAACATGCTTTGGGTCCTTTTGTTGAAGATCAAATAGCTGAATGTGTCTAGGAAAGTTTCTGTATCCTCGATTCTGTTTTCTTGATCCACATATCTGTTTTTGTTCCAGTACCATGCCATTTTTATCACTGTTGCTTTGTAGTGTAGCTTGAAGTCGAGTATTACTATGCCTCCTGCTTTATTCTTATTGCCCAAGATTGCTTGTGCTATTCTGGGTCTTTTCTAGAATTGAATCTTGACTCTTATCCTCCTGTCAGTTGCTTTTATCAGGGAGATAGCGTATAGGTGAGTACATAGAAGATGAATGATAAAACAATCCATGATAGAATAATAGAACTTGGAATATTCCTGGAATAGGTGAAGACATCTGGCAAAAGTAGAACTTGAGGTAGATGTTAATAAAAGGTTAGAATTTGGAAAGTAGAGAGGAATGAGAAAATTATCTCATGCTTGTGATATATTTGAGAAAAAATAACTAGTTTCACTGGAATTGAGAAGTTATATTGAGAAAATTCCATATAATTGTTTTTGAGGAGAAATATTTGAAAAATGCTTTGAAAAATTAGGTAGACAAGAATTAATAAATGAGAAAGAAATGAGAGGCAGTTTCTTATTTAAAAGTGTCAAAGAAGTAGTAGAGAAGGGAGGGGAAAAAAAAGGACAGTGTATCACTTCTAATCTTTTCAAGTAATCAAAATACCAGCTGAAACTAAAACAGAAAAGAAAATATTATTGGCAGAAAAGTTCAGGGATTATTCTAGCTTCAGTTACTCTGGTATTCAGGGCTCTAAGAATGTTGCCAGTCTTCATGCTCTACTCTACATTCTGAGAATCCCAGAAAGTGAGCTGAAGTAGATGCTGCTGTTTTAGCCTCAGAACTGCCCAGATTCAGCAGGAAGGAGCTGGTCTTTGTTCACAGCTCTTTTCAGAAGTCCTGAGATTCATGCTAATTAATTAGCCCACCTTGGCTCAACCTGGAATTAAGTGTTCTGGGGGATGCGCGGTTTCCACTGGCCAGGCCCATGTCATTCTCAAGCCAGTTCTGTTTCTGAAGGGTGGAAAATGGATACTTAGAAAGCAAATAGTAAATTTTCACCATGGGTATCCTTATGGTATACCTTGGGGAGACTGTGGTAGAAAAGTTTGAGATCCCTGTAGATCTTTTTTGATGGTTATTTGTATGTCAAAGTTGACTTAAGACAGTCCTCAAACAGAACATACCACAGTGACTATAGTTCCTGGTTTATTCCACTAACAAAGATAACCTTATTAGCTAGAGAAAATGGAATTAGGAAGGAAGGCAGCCTGAGAACACCGTGGCCACTTTATACCCCCAACAAGGTTTTCTTTCCTGATCTGGACCCTCATCTCTCCACACCATCTGCTGGTGCACCTTGCCCTCTGCTATGGGGTGCCTTCTAGCAGCAAGTAGATGCTTTATAGCACTGGTTGTCCAGCTCTGCCACACATCAGAATCACCTGGAAGAGCCTCTAAGAACAGATTTCTAGCCCCTGATGCTAAACATTTTTATTCAAGTAGGACGAGTTGATGCTGCTATTTCCTATCCAAGGGCTATTTGGAGAACTGCTGCTGAAGCACACATTCCATAGAGTTTTTATGCACCTTGTCCCATGTAAATAACAATGTGCACAGGAACACTGTCAAGGAAGTGCAGTATGTATAATCTGGAGCTTGACTTCCAATGTAACCTTGGTCATGTCCCATTTGAAGTCAGGTGAGAGGAAAATAGATATCTCTTTACATACTAGTTTTCTGTAGAACATGGGAAGGAAAATGGTCTGGAAGCTTTCTTATTTTATTCTGAAAGATGCCAGTACAGATTATTTTTTGTAATACTTTGACTATTGTGGACAGTCATAACACAACTCATGTGAATGTGATGTTCACAGTGGCACTTTTTGAAGGCTAGTGTGGATATTTGTACATCCACATGTAGTGCCAGGATATTAATGCTAATAGACCACATGGTTAAAACCCTTCATAACATGGGCAGTTGGAGGACAGGACTGGTCTTTGCTTTGCCCTTTTAGTTTGTCATGTGCTTAAACAATTGAGTGATCTTCACTGCAAGACATTGTCACCTGTGTGTCTCCCTTGCGAATACTGACTAGGAAACAACAGCCTCTGCAGTCATCACTCCAGTTAAGAAGTCTTTCTCAGTATTGATCATACAGAAAAATTCTCCAAACAAATGTTTATGCTGCAGCTTTTTTCATGTCTGGTTTTGCACTCTTCAATTAGTGAATCATATTGGTTTTATTTTTATAATGTTCTATTAGTTGTTGGATATACAAGGTCTTCTAAGAACAGAACCTCAATTAAATGACCTTGCACCTGTAGGAAATGAGCTTTCAATTATGACAGCTTAACCTGTGACCATTATTCAGGAACTAATTAGGTAGCTAGTCAGACAGGTCGCCATCACCATGTGTCATGGATCTTTGATGTCACTTGGAAGCAGTCAAGGGGAATATTAAGTTTGTGAATACATGGCTCAACTGTGTTTAGACAAGGAAATTATATCCCTTTCTCCCAGTACCTCCAGTGTAAATCATAATTCCTTTCTCTCCAGTGCACTAGCAGCACAATTCTTTCCAGATTTAATAGAGGCCTTCATGACAATGATGGGCCTTTGATGTTGATGACGTGCCTTTGATGTTGGCAGCTGGGCTCTCCATGTTTCCTCTACCCAGAGGAACTAGAAGACAAGGTGGGCTGAAGCTTGGAGCCGTTCTTCGGCCTTCACACTCCTTGTGTATGCACTGTCTCTGTGGAAACTGCTCAGGGTTCATGTCTATAAGTGAACTGTTGAAATGGGATTGGTGTGGGAGAAATTTCTACCAAAAGGATATTTCTAATTGTTGACCTCTCTGATGTCAACATTATAAGTATAAAATTCTCACTGACAAGATTGCTGTTAAAGGTAAAGGACCTTTGTGCTTACAGTGTTGATTATCAATCTGTGAAAGAGTTTGAAAGACTAAGTTATTTTTTAAGACTATTTTCCCACAATGCTTCAAAGCCTGATATATTTTCTTATATTTTAACTCTGGAAATTGACACTCCTGATAAATGAATTATTAAGCGATATAGTCTCCCATTTCTCCATGGGAAATTTCTGTCACAAATTTATAGTTACCTCATAACAAATAATTGACACTAAGGGAAATATTGTTTGGCTTCATTGTAGATCCTAAATGATCAGTTTGCCAACAGACTGATTCATTGAAAGCTCTCAGCCAAGTACCTTACATTGAGCATGGGAAATTCTTTGAGAGGCTGCAGATACAAATTTAGGAGTCCACAAAAGTATAAATCCCTAAATTCATGAAAATGGAAAGGCAAAATATGACTGAGGGAAAACCCATTTGTTTAACATGGATTGTGTTGTAGTCTGAGAAGCAATAACTAGCATAGTCAGAACAGAGCTAACTAC